AGGAATCCCACCGGTGTGCCTTCCTGCTCTAGTACTGCGCCAATAGCGTAGCCTGAGGCATCTGAATAGAGGGTGTAGGGCTTGGTCGAATCAGGGACCTGCAAGGTTGTGAACTCAGCGAGGAGACGTTTCAGTTGGCGCACAGCGGCGGTGTGCTCCTTTCCGCAGACGAAGGGCGAGTTCTTGCGAGTTAACTCCACCAACGGGCGTGCGGTATCGGCATAGCTGGGTCCCATAAACATTCTACAGTAGCTGACGGTACCCAGAAACTGTCGAACATGTGTTTCGTTCATTAGAACATCAGTCCATAAAAGGATCGCTTCCACCTTGTCGGCTGCGGGCTTGATACCATCGGCTCCTATACTATATCCCAAGTAAGTAAGCTCCTGTTGTCCCAACTTGCATTTTGACAGCCGAGGGTAGAACTTGTGTTTTAGGAACATGCCGAGGACTTGCTGTAGGAGTAGGACGTGGGATTCCAAGGTCGAGCTGTATATAAATACATCGTCTAGATAAGCAATAACGCCATGACATAGTAACGGTTGAAGGTACGCGTTAATATTTGCCTGGAATGTGGCAGGTGCTCCATTGAGGCCGAAGGGCATTACCTTATATTCGAAGAGGCCTTGTACTGAGCGAAAGGCCGTTTTCCACCTATNGCCGAAGGGCATTACCTTATATTCGAAGAGGCCTTGTACTGAGCGAAAGGCCGTTTTCCACCTATCCTCCCGCGCCATGCGAATTTGATGAAATCCCGCTTCCAGGTCCAAAGTCGGGAAATATGCGGCGCCGCCGATCATCTCCAAAACAGTTTGCACAGTTGGAATCGGGAACTCAGGAGCTATCGTTAGCGCATTTAGCGCTTGGTAATTGACGACCATTCGCATCTTCCCTTCACCAGATCCATCGTCTCGTTTGTCGACCATTATCGTAGAAGCACGAATCGGTGAGTAAGTGGGCCCAATCCATCTCTTGGCACTTAAACGTGCTATCTCCTTAGAGTGATGTGCCAGCTGGTCAGGTGGCATATTGTATATCGGCGCGCGCGTCGGTAGTCTGCCGGGTAAAAGGAGAATTCGATGATCATAAGGTCTCTTGGGTGGCAATCCATCAGGCAGACTATCGGGAAACAGGAGTCGATGTTGTCGCAGAACGGTAAGAATCTGTCTAGGCAAACGAAGAGCCTCCGGACCATTAGACCACGCGTCAAATTCTGTATATTGCAGCTTAGCTGTAGGCCATGGGGAGTCGTCTATATCCGCAGATGGCGGTGGCGCCGTATCTACAGGCTTGGTCGGCGGAGCGCCTGGCTCAAAGCGTGTTACTTTCAGGTGTTCTACAATCGCGCACAGAAGATCACCCTGGCGCTCTACAGGAACGTGAACGGCACGATCAGTTTCTGCTGCTGGTAGAGCGACTACGCAGTGTAATCCCTCTATAGCCTGCTTTAAAGCTGCTGTGTCTTCCCGCGCCTCCCGTAGGATATCCTTTATTTTCACCCGACCACCAGCTCGATGCCTGGATTTATAACGTTTGGTGGGAGGACGAAGAAGAGCTGCAGCCTCTTCCGCTGACATTCTAGCAACTTGTTTAGCCAAATCGGCATAGGCGTGGTCCGCCGCCGTCTTGACTGGTTCCGTGTCAATCTGAGTACCCTGAATCGGCTCGCCCTCTCTACGCAAGACCGGCAGATCGCACAACCGCCCATTTACATAAGTCCTGAGCTTGTCCGACTGAAAATACCACGCCACCTTGTGGTTAACGAGCCAATCAATCCCGAGAATGACNTCCTGAGCTTGTCCGACTGAAAATACCACGCCACCTTGTGGTTAACGAGCCAATCAATCCCGAGAATGACAGCATACGGTATTGGCCCTACCAGGAAATCTCCTGTGAAGCACTCTTCTCCGCAGAGCATCGACAACCTTGGTACCTCCCTATCGATGAGTATGACTTCACCGTTGGCTACTGTGGAGGAGTGCGCCTCCTGCAGGAAGCGCACCTTCAAGCCCAGTCGTTCCACAATAGCCGGGCGGATAAAGCTCCTGGACGCTCCCGTATCCAATAGTCCTTCACACTTATGACCCACGATTTCGAGTTGCTATACCGCCGTCTTGCCCACACTACAAAGGGATCCATGGTATTCTGGCGAGTGTTCTGCAGCATCTCCTTGCCATCATAGCCATCCAGGTATCATCGTTCTCCCCTCGTCGCCATGGGTCGCTGGGTTCTCCTTCCTCTCGCCCTCTCCGTCGGCCGGTGCACTTCGTTCCTCTCGCCCTTGCTCTCTGACATCCTTCGACTCACCTCCATGGATCGATCCTCCGTCCATCGTATTCTCATGACCTCCCGTGCACTCGTTCACGCCATTCCCTGTCCCGCCGAAAGCCGTTCCTCCCCTTTCGTTCTCCTCTCCCCCGTTAACGCGTACCGCGCCACCACTTAGTAGCAGCACGCGCCTCTGTGAGAGCTCTCCTCCGTCCGTCTCACCCCCGTTATCACGTACCGGGCCACTGCTTAGTAACCGCGCACGCCTCAGTGGGTGAGAATCTCCCTCTCCCTGTCAATTCCCTTTCTGTTCCCCTTCTGTCCTCAACATGACACTGCTCCTTGTCCCGGACGGACGGTCCTTCCCGGTTCCCCTATCGTGCGCGCTCTGTCTTCCTTCCCCTTTGTCATACGGCCCCCGGTTCGGGGAGACTCTGATGGTATTTGGCCCAGTTGCGGCCTGGCCTCCGTTGCCACCTGTGAGTTGCTCTGGCCTAGCGCGTTCGTCTCCCTTAACGACTAGGCCTGGTCGTTCAACCGGTCTGCTCCCGCGTTGCCGTCCGTAGGGGCTGGCGTCGAACTCCGTCCCTCCTGCCGCCCCGGCGGCACTCGTTGGGGTGTGGAACATTCCCTAGCGTAATGGTCTCTTCCTCCACACTTAGAGCAGGTTTCACCCATTCGTCTAGTCACTCCGTTACGCAAAGGGCAGTCCCTTCCCAAATGCCCCTTTCCCGTGCATTCATAACGGCGAATCGAAACGTTTTCGTCTGCAGTATTTCCCCTTCCTGTCGGGGTCCGCCTTAAGGCGTTAGTATACCCGCCCGGTCCCAATCGACGCTTCGTGTTTGCGAACTCCTGCTCGTAACGTAGCCTCTTCGCGCGCCAGGCTCCGTACGGCGCAGCCGATTCTCTCAGGGCTGCGGCGGCCTCTCGCCAGTCCTGGAAGTTCCTGGTTCCTTCTTGATTCAGTTTGTCGCATATCTCCAGTGGTATGTTCGTAAGGAAACACAGCACCAGATCCTCAGCCGGTAAAGTTTCTCCTTGTGCAACTATTTCGGCAAATCGCGCGATGTACTCGTTATGATATCCCCGCCATGTATTCCATAACATTCGCTCCAGCATCTTTTCGCGCGACAAGGTGCAGAACCTCTCGCATACTCTCTCTCGTACGAGTTGCCAGTCAGACAATTCCGTCCCCAAGCGTTGCAAGAGCCCTCAATGCGCCATGGCCTTGCCCGTCAAGTATTTCCTTAATTGGAGTCCCCACTGTTCTTCTGGTATCTTCATTTCTCGGAATTCCTGTTCTATCAGACAAATGAAGGCATGCATGTTGGTTCCATCGTCGGTCGCCGCGATTCCCCTTCGATTAGAGCTTTCGTCCGTCATCTGGCGAAGCAACTTCACTAACTCTATCTCCCACTTGAAAGGGGTTTCCTCTGGGTCACCTGTTCCTTCCGCGTCCCGGTCCTGGTTCCTAGCCGAAGTCGAGCCCTTCCTGCTCACGGTTGACTGGTCGCTCTCCCGTTGGGATCTTGTCCTCCGCGGTTCGCGGAAATGCCCCGCAACTCCTCTCGGTGGGCTTTCAGTGTCCTACATTTCCTCAGTTGGCGTAAGTGGAAGTCCTGTCGTCCTTCCGCTATGCGGTTGCATAACAAGCGTCCCCTCGTCCCTTGGGTGCGGACGTCCCTCTGGGCTCGTGAATTTAGGAATTTTTCCCACTAAGGAAAGGGGTTTGGTTATATTTATGGAAGAAATTTCGCTTTTCCCTTCCCGGAATAGCCCCCAAATGTAATGCCTGTGTGCATCTAGCTCATCGCACAGAATCCACTGGAGTGCAGCAGTACGTAGCTATTACGGGCAGGATCTGCAGAACAAACCGTTTCTATTAGTAATTCAAGTAGTTTCGTGAACAAATTTCAGAGCAAAATAGTTCTGCCGGATTTCAGTCCGATCCGTTCGTCCCAGCTTGGCGATCCGTCCGGCCGGTTCCTAGAACCGTGAGGGTGCGGGCGCGGGTACGGCCGACCCGCGTTACCGCGGTGACTATACCTCTGCCTCTAGAGAGGTGTCGGCTATCCTCAGCTAACTGCCTTGGCTCTACGATTTGGTTTACCAAACTTTAAATTTTATTAATTAAATTAAATTAATTATTACAAATTTTAGTCTCATTTTGCCCACTAGATATCTACAACGGTGCACTGTAGTGCCAATGCACTACAGTAGGCCAGCAGTAGTCACTACACTATGGCTGCGCCCCACAGTCGTCCCTCAGAGGTACAACCTAGCAATACGTAAAGCTAACTGCAAATGTTTGTACTAAGGTGAAATACCCTGTTATCGTGAGCAGATCTCAGCATAGCATGTAAGGGACTGAGGGCTCTCCCCACATTTCATCAGGTTACAGGACGCGCAGTACCTCTTGTGTTATGGATTCGCATGATCCCATCGTGTGCGGGAACTTGGATTCCTACTAGGCCTCACAATTGCGTGTTTTTTATCTGCGTTTTCGTTGGGGGCACAAGGCGCAGAGTTGCTGGCAGAGACATATGTATCTACTGACGTGAGTGGAATCAAGTTCGGAGGGTCAGATGATCCCTAAGGCCCCAAACTCCCCGTAAACTGCCCCGCCTGAAGGGGAGTTTCTCACATACGATGTAAATACCCTTGGGAGCCCTGAGAGGTGCACTCTCTCATTGCTTCCCCGCGCATAGACCTCCATTAGATAGTGTGGGAGCCGTGCCTTCGCCCTTCATCTGGGCACCCACGGCATGGATAAGATTATTGTCATGGTGAACTTGTTCAACACATTATTATTCTGGGGAACTGCTTCGACTCTCCAGTCAAGTAGCGCTATCAACTCATGCTCGTTGATACGAACTTGCACAAGCACATAGTTGATTCGACGCGTCCCTCCAGGCGGGGTTGTCACACTTTTCGGCTTCATCATTGCACCGCACGTTACGTGGGAGACACAGAATTTCCCTGCATGATGGTTTTGTTTTCCTGGCGACGCAGCTCGAAGTTGTGGTTCTCCAATTGCTCGGCGCGGTTCATGCCTCCGCAACCTCGAATCATATGACATTGCTTATCGCAAACGAAACAGGTGTGCCGCTCGGTACGCGCTCACGCCGGATACGCTAGCTCTCGCCTGTTGTCGCTTCTTATCTTTTTCTCTTTCGCGCTGGCGCTCACAGCCGCCAAAACAGCATGCTCGATTGCGGAGCTGCTTTTTATACCCGTTTCCTTCCTTTCTTACGCTAGATCGGTAGAGCACCTTTCCCCTTTTCCGTTCCTAAGTAATGCATCAGCTGGGCAGGATCCATATTATACCCCTTCCTGCATCTGAACGGACCCAGCCAGTTGCTGATTGCCTCTCCCCGGGGGAGAGCCCCGCTATGGGTTGTCGATATAGAATCGCCGAGTACACTGTTGGCTTTCGGCTCACAAAGTGATGCTAAACCCTACACGTCCAGGTTATTTTATTTGCGCTTTCTTGTTTTTGCTGTTGACTGTTCCTTCGCCTACCTGGGAATGAACCTAAGTCTTACCACTTGTTGGAAGGCTTGCATAGTCTGGGCGTCCGCCGGAATTTTGGTGCCATTGCTTAAATATAGACAATATTGCAGTGCGCCTTCTGCTAATCGGGAGAATGTTGAAAGCAACTGTGTCCCTACGTGTGCATTTTGAAAACGAAAGGCAAACTCGACAGGAGCTTGAATCTTCTGCACTGGCTCCGCATCGCAATGCGCATCACGATTGGAAGGTCGGCAGATACAGAGGCAGTTGTCATGAATTGCTTGCGATGTAAAGACATTTTCGGCTGAATAAAATATAACTTAACGTGTTCCACGGTAGCAAGGCTCCCAGCAATTGATCATCTTCCCAACGGAGGTGTAAAGCGTGCTTTCTTGCCTGGTTCAAGAACTAAAGCATGCTGAAATGCAGCCAAAGGATTGAGATAATATAACATCCAGAGCAGCTGAACTCCCTCCCTTGTCCCCATGCATCCAGGGCCTGGGGTTGTGGAGGAGGAGGCAGCCTAACTGGAGTTGCAGTGCACCTCGCTGCAGCTGGAAATGCAAGGCAGTCT